AAATGTCTTGATTTTACCGCTTCTGAAAATTTTCATGAATTGTCGATGTGATACACCAATCGTCTTGGGACAGTTTGACCTTCAAGTGCTCGCAACCTACATCAGTGAACAATACCATTGAAGCGTTGCCGATACTGCGTCGTCAATCTTTGGTCCCAATTGGAATATTCCCTTAATCTCTCGCTTGTTTTACTTCAGATTGTTGTCGATTTCTCTCCTTATAAAGTGTGAGTGCATTCTAAGAGTTCGAGAAAAGTGCGTCTAAGCTGAACTGAGTTACTATTATCATTAGTTATAAGGCCACACTATCAGTGTGTGCTTATAAGGACTGATGGCAATATTTCCAAGTTCTGAAACATCTCATGAGCTAAGTACTCGATCATCTTAATCTTCTTTCCACTTATTACCAGCTTGTTTCTCCGGACTCCTTGATCATATGTTTCGGAAAACCATCAAGGATTTTAGTAGCTTAGACTTAATCACCATTGTTTGAAATAATTCCTTTCTGATCATCACAATTGGACTACTATCTATTTTTAAACAGATGAGATTTGTATTTTGAGGAAAGAGGGCTGGAGGTCTATGTTAGTCTTTTTGCAGTAGGCCTTTGTATTTTTGTAGTTTTCTCTTGAACGAGTCTATTAAGTGCTTGCATCATTGATACGCTCTGTCAGTCAGACTCGGACGACCGTAACACGTCAACCATTTCTGTCAGTAGGTTCCAAACGTTGACTACTCAGTGTGAAAACATCGATACTACTTGGTCGTCAGTGACTGCGATCAGTTAGATGAAATGCCACCAAACTCCAAGACTAACTACCCAGTCAATTAAACCAAAATTAATCCTCCAAAATTGAAATCTACCGAGGATAATCCATCTGGATATTAGTATCTGCTCTTTTTCGTCTTTGACTCGTCATACTTCACGTATTTTCACATGTTTTAAGCTTGGAATTGTCTGTCAGTCAGTAACAACGTAGAACTTCGTACGTACATCAGTTCACGTTGCCATACCATATTAGCACAGTGGTGCAGTTGTCGATTCAATCGCTCCCTTACTGTGTTAGTTGCTAGATGGTAGGCAGCTATACTGCTGACTCCCAACGTTTCCTCAAATTGTATCATCATCATTTGGTCGGTTCAAGTAGAATCACCTTCCAATATTTTACGGCAGTTGCTGACTAATAGTTTTCAACTCCAACCATCTGAGTTCCTGTCCTCTTTGGAAAGGTCTCATAGCTAACGAGTTGTGTAAGTATCAGTTACAGGAGTGTTTATTACTGCTGAAATCTATTCAATGATTTCGGACCGAAAAACTTGCTGGTTACAACTACATATACACAAAATAAATTGGAGATGAGTCTTCTAGCCTTAGTGTTCTGGTTTTATGTAAAAATTCTTACAATACTTATTTGCTGTATCCACTCATTCAATAGCAATACTGAAGTGTTCGTTTCATTATGATATGATTGTTGCCCATATTTTAGTTTCATTTATCCTACTAAAGAGACTAATAGTGAGTTTTCGTTCTGTCAACAGATTCCAGTTTACTATAGTGCTGATTTAATACCAGATTACTGGGATTTTTGCCCCAAAACTTAAAGCATACTTCTAATTATACCCGTTTCAGAGAAGCCATCAATAATGGGGAAGTCTTCACGCGATAAACGTGATATTTACTATAGATTAGCTAAAGAAGAGGGTTGGAGAGCACGTAGTGCCTATAAGCTGCTACAAATTGATGATGAGTATGGAATCTTTTCTCCTGGTAAGTGTATGGTGGTTTAGATTTATGGGCAAAATGAGATATACCACTCGAGTTATACTAAATTTTTTTTATAGAAGTCCACTGATTGATAGACAAACTGATTGAAGTCATAGAAGAGTCCGTTATGATTATTCTCATGAAGAGATAGTGTGAATGCTGGCATTATTCACATGTGAACCTCATTAAACAACCTAAGGGATAACTTTTAAGTGGCTCTAACACGACTGTTTTGTGAATAGCTGTTCCGACTTTCTTAAGGTTAGTCCACGTGTTTCAAACTACACTATAAGAAAGGAGAATTATTGGAGCTAAGATTATGTGCTTATTTTACTCGTAACCTATTTCAACTCTGCTACTTATTTAAAAGCGGTGTTGCCGGTTGTCTGGGAAAGGCTGTTCCCACCACACTTTGAATAGGGCCAGTAATCAGGATTTTCTTCTTGGAACTGAAATTCACTCCTTTCCGTTAGCCCACTTTCCGGCGGATTTGTCTATTAGCAAAATGAAAAGAAACAAGTGATGTAGGGAATATAACTCAATTGTTTCGTTATAGTAAACAAACTTAACCACTGCGACAAAGTAGATGCAACGATGTCCAATCATTAATGGCAATGTAAACTAGTAAGTTGAATAAAGAAGCGTTTAAATTGGTTTACACATAAGTTTGAGACTTGTTGTCATAGATTTTTCTGTACTATTCCAACGGTTCGTCAGCTACATATAAGTTTTCCTTGGCTAGTGAGTAGTGAAATCTACCATTAGTTTAAGGTTTTCGTTGAAAAATTCACTTTGACCCTCATATCATCATAGCATTCGACTGACTAAAACATAGCTAAATTTAATACAGTATTCTACTAGTGCAATCTCAGAGCTTGCGAAGTTATAGATGGAAAGCGGTCGTACCAATAAATTACTAAATGTCAAGTCGATTGAAATAATCAATTGCTTTTAATGAATTTTGCACATCGTGGTGGCTTCAGATAGTCTTAGCGGCTACAACTCAAGAATATGGTGTATTTACATGAGATTTTGTCAACTAATAATAACAGTTTTTTTTACAGATTGGTTTGTAAATCGGGAACTTTTTCGAATTAAAGATCAGAGCTCCTATTGCCATTTATTTTGCTTCCCCACTTTTACAGAAAATGCTCCTTTAGAACGAGTGGTTGATTTGTGTGCTGCACCTGGTAGCTGGTCACAAGTATTATCAAAACGTTTATGGGAATCGAAATCCCCAGAGGATCAAAAATCTGTACTGCATACATTTTGAGATTTCATTATTGATATTTCTTAATGAAGGTGAAAATCGTTGCCGTGGATCTACAGGCTATGGCCCCAATACCAGGAGTTATTCAAATTCAAGGCGATATCACTAGTCAGGATACGGCTCAACAGATTATAAGACATTTTGACGGCAAGTTAGCTCAACTTGTTGTTTGTGATGGTGCTCCAGATGGTAAGTGAGTTTGAGCTTTTCAAGTTAATAATTTTCTATTTGTAAATTGATTATGTGTAAGTTTTGACTTCTGTCCGTTTAAACTTTTGGTATAAATATATGCCACTTTGTATTAGGTTTATTTTTTTGACTCTTTGTGTTCTACTGCCAATTTTATTGAGTAGTGTACTTTTATCTTAAAATCCTTACTCCACGTATTAATGATCTTGCTAACATTTTTCTTATTATTTTTGTAGTGACAGGTCTACATGATTTGGATGAATATGTTCAGTCGCATCTTATCTTAGCTGCTATAACTATCTGTTCAAGAGTTCTTGAGCTTGGTGGTACATTTGTTGCTAAGGTTTTTCGTGGACGAGATTCTGGTTTACTAGGTTCCCAACTCCGACTTTTGTTTTCGGGTGAAGTTAGTTTTGCAAAACCAAGAGCTAGTCGGAACTCTAGTTTAGAGTCCTTTGTTGTATGTCGTGGATTTATGGGTCCTCGTTTACGGACAGATTTGAAACCATCCACATCTTTTGAGAATCATTCAAGCAACGATAACTTGCTATTATTATGGTACGACAAGGATAACTTTGAAGACGTATGTTAATATGTTATGCCTTCAATACTCAGTTTGTTATGCAAAATGCCAAGAGAATATTCCGTTCTCATGTTCTGTTTATAGCTATGTGTATTTCTTTACAATCATATTTTTGAAGTTGAGTAGTGGTTGTGGTCAACCATTGGTCATTCCTGTTTTCAAGTATGAGATTTTGAGGACCGATGTATAGAAATGTATGAAAATACTTCGTTATCTATGACTGCTGTAAGAATGCTGAGCTCCAAATAATTCGTTACAAGTCAAATAGCAAAACATTATTTAAAAGTCATTCTTTCAGCCTGTAAATCTAAACGTTTATCTTTATGTTGCATTAATTTTCCTATTGAATGATTAAGTAAATAATTAGTCACAAGAATAAGATGACCTTATTATTTTGGTTGATACTCTCATTCACAAATCGAATATAGAGTTAAGCTATAGTGATTTTGGGACATTTTTGTTTGTTTATTTGTTAGGTTAATTCTTCTCAACAAGCTCTATTACCATTCATTGCGTGTGGAGATTTAAGAGGTTTTGACCCAGATGTCACGTATACTTTAGACCCTGATCATGTAGTCAAGCCACCAGTACAAGTTCCTGTAGATCCTGCTTATTCCGAAGTTTGCCGATTCAGTCGCTTAAATCAATCAAATACTTCAAAATTTCAATCTTTGGAAAAGAATAATGAAATTGATAATAATGATGATATTTCTAGATTTACAGAACTTATGGAAAAGTTGTCTTTCGATCCAAGAGAAGATCATTTATGATGTTTGATTTTTATGGACGAAACTATTTTATTCTATAAACAAATAAATATATTACATTTGTCCTCTAATTTCTTTCCTTTATTGGTGTTATATGTTGTGATTGTTGTTTATTATTTCACCAAAAATTAACAAACTGTTAATCCAATTCGTTAACTAAACACTGATTTATCAAGCTTTGAACTACACGTTTTGTTTGCAGGTAGAAGAAAATACTTGACTTTCCAAACCTAGTTAAATAAAGATTTATTCCGATTTGTGGCTTAATGGTTGAAATTTGATTGACGAAATCATTCAACCATATCTCTATGAATATATCTATTCAACAAATGTATAGGATAGTTGTATAAGGGTATCACATTAGTGGATAGTTTCCCAACATTATTATTCACCAGGAACTGATTTCAGTTAAAGTACTATGAAAATCAGGAACCACATATAAACTCGTTTCTGGTTAATACTTCTGACCAGTCCTCAATATTTAATCACCTGGTATCTGTGCGAATACAATATTCAGTGGTCCAAATTTATTACTAAAGTCAATTCCGTGAGTAAGTGTTTCCCACCGGATTGGATTAATTTCACACATCATAGCACCTCTCTAGAATTTCACAGAATTCATATCGAAACTACTTATAAATGAATGACCAAATGACTGTTTGTCATTACTTAATGTTTGTGGAAACGAGCAGATTTCCATCATGGTTTTAATTTTCTGTAGCTGACATTGATTCCCGGTAAAACCTTATTTTGATTCTTACCGTGAGAAAAGGTTTTCATCTTAATCTGATTTTAGGAATTTGAATACTCACGATTGTTTTGTCTTCATTAGTTTCTATGTTATGAGATCTAGTGAGATTTCGCACAATAGATGAGCTGTGACCAACAAGAGGATACGACAGACTTTCTTCCCGTTTCAGACTCATCGGTTGAATGTGTCTGCGTCTTAGTGTTGATATTCACATTAAGACTCAATCTCCTGTACCTTTTCACTTCAAACATGAGAGCGTTATTCACTGAGCTACTGAATCCGGGTAGACATTGATTTGTTTGATGGATATGGTGTTTACAACGTTATTAATAAAGGTTCTGGTTATTTCGTTGTTGGCTATTTAGAATCGTTCAAACATCAGTTTATTCCTTAAACTGTGCTTCAATTCGATCTTATTTACATTCAAAGAAGGACTATAGATGAAAACAAAGTGGACGTGAGTCCCGCCTATGTTCCTGATTGTTGCTTACTTATTCATGTTCCATATAGATTCACATTTTTATCCACTTTCGGAAATGAAAACGAACTCACTGAGGTGTCATTGTTAGACTGCTTACTCAAAGGAAGTTTAAATGGAATTCTGGATGTAGTCATTTGCCGTAGACCGACACGTTCTAATCAGTATGTCGAGTTCGATAGCACATATTATTTAGTGGAGGAATTTTCAGCGCTTTAAATTCATTCAGAAGAATTACCAAAACTTTTAAATCAGAAGGCGAATACAATGACGATCTTGGCGCTCAGTAACTTCCTTATGAATACTTTTTAAAACGGGGTGATTTGTTTAAAAAGAAGTAATGAAATATCATAGGCTGTTACAATAGTTTTACCTTACTCTGCAGTAGGATATAATTGCAACCATGTAAGATATGGTTGTTTGTATATTCTCTGTGGGTAGCAACTCGGGAGTTTCGATTTTCTACTGATTGAGACTTTACAAATATGTGACTTTCTAAATTATGAGTGGATCAAAGTTCAAAATTCTGATCTACTTATCGGGAAGGTGAATGCTTAACTAATAATCTATGTAAACGCACGAACACTATTAGTGGGAGTAGTGCAATTAACTTTCATACCTAATGAGGAATTTGTAAATCTAGTCTAGTGCACACAAGCCTATATCTAGCTGTGTTCATCACACTTTTCTTCATCTCAATATTCTGTGTGCTTCATATTTTACAGGATTGTTAATGACAATGATGATGCATAATTCATACAAGTCATCATCTCAGTTCAAAACATCTCTTGACAACTATCCAGAATTACAAACATATCAAGCAACGCCTGAAGAAAAATGCAAGACTATCGTCAACTCAATATTCTATTTGCTGATTACAATTCTGATTGGAGTACCTTTATGGTGGAAAACTACTACACCATATCACGCTTCATTGCCTTATAATGAGATTCAAATATTAAGCTCGCGTAAAATTGAGATAACTGTACCAGTAAGTATGTGTTGAGCGAAATTTCATTTGGTGAATTGAGTCCGATGCGTTTATAATGGTTTTTTTGTAACTTGTTGATGTATTTAAAATGGAATAACATTGTTTAGTGATTATTTATTTATTTAAGATAAATGGGACTCTGAAAAGTTTAATTTCCGTCCAATTTATTTACAAAGTATAGATGTGCGTAATTGACTTTGTGGTCGCAGTAGTTGTATGGAGGGCATGATATATATATATATATATATATATATATATATAATACCCGGTTGAAGAAACGGGGATGAGAATTGTAGCATACGACACGTTGGTTGAAAGACGAATACTCCAGGTGATGGACTACCTACTCCGCATTGGTAATTATATAAGAAGTGGTTGGAGGAGTTAATTTTTGACCATTAAAGCCCAGGTATTCAATACTCATTTCACTTCGATTTAGTTTCAAGATACCTCGGACAGTATTCCATAAACTCGGATCATGAGCACTGGTGGCACATATGGGAGAAGTCAAAGACAGATGACAGATGATGGGTCTCGGAATTATTTATTTATTTGGACACATGAATATTGGTACAAGAGAGCGCCAATATATATGCGCCACACAAAACAATGAAAATTCGAGAGGAATACAAAGAAAGAAAAAAAAGCTAAGGAGCGCAACAAAAAAAGAGAGAACAATAACGAAGAGATTGGTGTAAGGTAATGTGCTAGTAATCAGGGAACGCAAAGGTACAATCGGAAGAAATCTTTCAGGTAAGGGAGACACAACCACTTTTTATGAAGAAAGTAAAAGAAGGTTACAGCAGGATCGCCACTGGCTTCTATTCTGAGCCATATCTGATAACGTCTCTAGCCACTGTGTAGCACCATCTCTCAGACCCCAACCAGGGAGTCGTGAAGGACCAACACAAGCCAGTCCTTTGCAGCTTTCTTTCATGCCACGACACCATGTCATGCACTGACCACCTCTCCGCTTCTTCCAACCAGTCCCAGAGTCGGCAAATAATGCACGACGTGGAATTCTCTGGGACGACATTCGGAGAACATGTCCAAGCCACCGAAGTCGGTGTTTCAAGATGGTGACACCAATTGAATTATCATCTCTGTGCCCGAACACACGATGCCGAACCTCTGCATTACTGACATGGTGTTGCCACTGAATGTCAGCAATCCTTCGGAGACAGCGATGATCGAACACAGAGAGTCGTCTAACGTCCTCAACTCGGAGAGGCCAGGTTTCACAAGCATAGAGCAAAACTGCTCTCACCGACGCGTTGTAGATCCGACCTTTTACAGCCAGACTAACATCACGAAGGCGCCAAAGGTGGCCCAGATTGGCATAAGCCGCTCTGGCTTTCACTATACGTGCATTGATCTCATCACTCACACCCCCACCAGCACTTATGCAGCTACCCAGATACACGAACTTCTCGACTACGTCTATCTGCTCACCATCCAGGGTGAGTACAGGATTGGAATCCTGCCAGTCTTGTAGAAGTACTTTGCACTTCGAAGGTGCAAAGCACATACCATACCTACGGACACTGATTGCCAACTGATTAAGTGCGGATTGCATGCCTTGGGCATTATCGCACAGTAAGACAATATCGTCCGCATACTCAAGGTCGAGAAGTCTTTCTCCAGGCAACAGATCCACACCACCATTACTTACATTCATCAGAGCTGTTTCCAGAATGTCATCGATGGCAAAGTTGAAGAGGAATGGTGAGATTGGGCAACCCTGCCTAACCCCACTGCTCGAATGGAACAATGGAGAGAGGTGGTTGTATGCCCTCACTCTGCCTGAGGTGTTTTTATATAGGGCTTTTAGGATGTTAATAAACTTCTCAGGCACACCCTTCTTCAATAGACAATCCCAGAGAACAGTCCTGTCCAACGAATCGAAGGCAGCCCTGATGTCAAGAAACACTACGATTGTTGGCCTTTGATAAGTATGGCGGTGTTCTAACATTTGGCGGAGGGTGAAGATATGATCAATACATCCTCGACCAGAACGAAACCCAGCCTGCTCCTCGCGAGTCAATCTTTCTCGGGTTTTGAACAACCTACGAAGTATGACGGAAGCCAATAGCTTGGACGCAATCGGAAGTAGACTTATCCCCCGATAGTTGTTACAGGAACGACGTGAACCCTTTTTAAAGATAGGGACAACTATCGACTCATTCCATGACGTTGGTACACTCTCTAGTTCCCAAACCTTTGTAAACAACGTCGTCAATTCCTTAGTCAAAAAGTCACCACCATCTTTAAAAAGAGCCGGAGGTAAGTCATCTGGGCCAGGTGATTTGTAACGCTTCAAGAGTTGGAGTTCCTTGCGGACTTCCTCCTCGTTTGGTGGATCAGTCGTCACCGGCCATGGAGGGCAGGACAGTCTGACCGATGTTGCCGGAGCAGCAGGCCAGTTGAACTGCCCTTCGAAAAATTCTGCCCATCGTCCAAGACGTCGATGGATGTTAGTGATTGGCATCCCATCATCCTCGCAGATTGTTTCACTCACACCAGACTTCTTGCTGCCAGTGGCTCGGATGAGCTGGAAGAGCTTCCGGTAGTTACCAGATGCAGCTGCTGCTTCCAGCTCATTAGCACGCTTCGACCACCAGGCTTCTCGGTCCTTACGCAAGCTTTGCCCAATTTCCTTACGTAACATCCTTCGTTTATGGTCAAACTCACGGTCACCCGGAGTAGACCGACGGGCTTCAATGAGTTGTAAGGAACCAGAAGAAACCCAGTGCTTAAAAGCGGGACGTTTCGCAAACCCACAACTGACTGTTCCCGCCATTTTCATGGCGTCATGCAATTGCAACCAATGCTCATCTATACTTTTCGGTGGAGTGGTAGCTAGCCTAGAGGCTAGCTCGGTTCGATACTTACTTGCAACAGAAGTTGCAACCAGCTTGCTAACATCAATCCGTTGATGGCGGTCACTTCGTTGTCCACTGAAAAGTAAGGCAAGATTGGCGCAGACCAAGGCATGGTCAGAGTCCAGATAGGTACTCCAAAAGGAGCGGCAGTCTTTTACACAACCACGCCAGCGGTAGCTGATCGCGATGTGATCAATCTGAGTCCAGGCTTGAGATGCAGAGGGAGGACGCCAGGTGGCACATCGGCGATGACTGTGCCGAAAGTTAGTGCTAGCCAGAAACAGGTTGTGGTCTGTGCAAAGTTGCAGTAGACGGTCCCCGTTATCTGACCTGCGACCAACGAGTCCCCATCGGCCACCTAAACGACTCTCTTCTGTGCCTAGACGCCCGACCTGAGCATTCAAGTCTCCGGCTAGTACTACAATATCTGTCGAACGCACTTTCTGGAGAAGAACAGATAACTGGTGGTAAAACTCATCCTTGATTGCATCCGGGCTGCAATCTGTCGGGGCATAGGCGGAGATGACGAAAAGACATCGTTTCTCACGCCGATTTCTTCTCACTTTGATGGAACTTTCTAATCTAACAGCACATAACCGACTGTTAATGGGGATCCAATCGACTAGTGCTGCCTCAGCTCTAGCGCTTAGTGCGACACCAACGCCAGCAAGACCAGACGAAGATGCCACAGGGTCCCCGGATAAGCGCACGTAAAACAAGCTTTTTGAAGTGACAGATGTAGAGCGAATTTGTAGTACTTCGCTAGAGTCTTGAATACGGGTCTCGGATAGACAACAAACATCAATATTAAGACTTTCCAAAGACATAGCCAGCCCTATCTGTTGTCCGACCTGCATAAGTGTGCGAACGTTGAAGGCAGCCAGTTTGAATGGCGCACGTGGTTTCAGAAAAACTGCTTCAGTACTCATATTCGATGGTAACATACAACTTTCAACCGGACAGTGACTCGAGAACGTTTAGATACAGTCGGATTTCCACCAAAGACGAGCCGCTGTATAAGTATAAAAGAGGGTGAATAATGTGGGAAATAATAATAATAATAATAATAATAATAATAATAATAATAACGACAATAATAGTAATAATAATAGTATTAATAATGACAAAAATAGTAATGATAATTATTTGAATCGACTGATTGTTTTTCGGAGCGATAAAAGTAGTTGCCAAAGACATAGAGTTCATCGTTTGTGTGTGGGCTGTGATACTGCCCGGGTGCCCAAACCGAAGCAGATGGTTATCTTAGGGGGCCACTCCCCGAGCCTTTGACCTAAAGGTCTAACCCACAAGGCAGTGGAGCATCGTAAGGAGATGCAATCCCATGGTAGCCGGTGACCAAAGATTGGTTCATACGCCATTTGTTCCCTCAGGATACTGGAGCCCATGTGCACCATTGGTTTGTGATCCGGTTAAAGCGCCGGACATTCGCTTTTCGTCCTCCCATTTTCATAAACAACACCCTCGCCACGAGAAGGCAATGAGTAGGACTTCCCTGGCAGAGGCTGTATACGCGCGGCCGTGTGAGAGTATTTCGAGAGGGAGAGCGGACTCACCCCACTCTCGGCCGTACCAGGGCATTCGGGGCGGGTCTCGGAAATAGATAGGTGGGATTTGGTCGTGATTAAAATGGTGTTATTATGTTCAAATAGAGATATAAGTGATCTTGACTTCGAAGTTACCCACGCTAAAATGGATACGTCTGGAGTTATGTGAAAAATAAACTGGATTAGGAGGGTGGTGTTGGTAACACTGGATAATGTTTAATTATGGTCAGTTGCACACGCCTCTTGCTAGTAGGTCTTCATTTGTTAACTTCGTAATTTTCAAAACTTGTCGCTGACGACGGAAATCGGTGTAGCACGGTATGTTGTGTTATTTGTAGAGGGGATTTTTTCTAACACGCTCCTTCCGTTATGAGGAGATATCATCGCTGCAGGTGCTGGTTTTATCTGGAAAACACCACACTGTAGTAACAGATCTATGCACACGGGACTACAACTTCACTTCTAGACCTTAAGTTTACTGCTTTCAGTTTTCAAACTCCAATCAACCTATCTGGTATGGTTTCAGCTAGTTTAGTTTTATTGAGTTATTTAATTATCAAATCCCAAACACCACGTCAAGGTAGTAGTAACAGTTTTGTCTATTTGACAATTTACCTAGTATCGTGAACTCTTGCTTGTACAGGTAAGCGCAGAACCCATTAGTTTACATCGATTAATTCGTGATTGTGTTGTAATTACTCACTGATAGTTGTTTCAGATAAGGTTTTCTATTTGATGCACTAAAATGTTGACCCAAGGCTAAATTTTATTATTTAAGATATCCCAATGAAAGCAGCCAGTTGTAATCAATCTACATGAACAAACTGTATGTGTTAATTGTGCAGCTAGATGAATAAGAAGTAGTTACCAGTTGGTGGAAACAAACTGAAGGAATGTAAAAATTAACGATAATAAAACTCCTACCATTGATGTGGTTGCACTTAAACATGGTTTACCGAGGAAAAGACAATTTCACAAGTTATTTTAGTTCGACGGACGGATGAGGTGGAGGGTGAGATTGATAATTATATTAACAACTGTTCGTTAAACAAAAACTGAATACATGCGGCGTCTGTACTTCAACACCTATTCATCGTATCGATAAAGCAAAAACATAAGGATCGTTATTGAAACTTTTGTTTTTATGGTTAACTGATTATTCCTTGAAAGTATCATTACTATGTAGTTAGGTCATTTACCATATGGTGCTTTTGCTCATTTGCTTGGTCCCGATCAAGGTTTTACATATGTGTATATTAGCATTAAGAATAATAATAATATGTTGTCGCCACATGGAATATGCCAAATGATTCATTGTTACAAGCTGTTTTAAATAGGTTATTGTTTGTTTACTTCTATTTTCTTACCTCTCATCAGATCAATGTGCTCAATTTTCATGCTGAACTTGATGATCGAAGTCTACACCAAATCAGTGAAATATTTACCCGTTTTAATTTGGAGCAGCAAGCATTTACGGTGACAGATGGCTCTGATGAAATTTTAATGAATTATCATGTAAATACCAGACAAATGATGAATCATTTAGAAATCCGAACATATACAAAGTCGCTTTCAAATGATATTCTTAGCTTTTGGTTAACATTTGAAAAAAATTTAAGCTTATTGAATGCTTTCGATATAAAAGACACTCCGAAGAGCTTTGAAAAGTAAAGTAATATTTGAATAGTTTGAAAATTTGTAGGTTGTATCCGTTGCTTAACGATTTCAGTTGACGTACCCTTGGAAACGGGAGCGCGGTGAACAGCCATTTCCTCGTAGTTTCTTCCTAGCTATTTCCTCTTCCTCCCATTCAGTTATCTTGTGCCTCCGAATTTTCAGTGGTACCTCAACTGAGATCAATCTCCAAAAAGTCCTTCCATCGTTTTTGAAAATTAAATTAAGGAACGTAGTTGATAAAGCCTAAATAGAAAAACGGTTTCAGCATCCATCAATAAAAAAATTTAACAGAAAATCTGATATTATTCTTACGGACTGTCGTAGATATACAGTCTGATAGATAGTATAGTGGGTAAATCTATTGACAAACATCATTCCGTTCTGATGGTGATGTACAATTAAATCAAAGCGATCTTAATGACGCCATTGAATTGTTATCGTTCTGGAAGTTAAATTGAAGTGATTTTACGGAGGTTAGCTTAATTTGTGGGTTATATTCGTCACAAATTGATTTCAGTATACTTTTGAAAACTAAAGATCAGTGGATGGGTGTCTAATCATTGTATGACGCCTTTCAGTATTGCGCACTCACAACTCTAACCATGATTGGACTCGGGAACTGCGGGTCTCGTGGCTAACTCCTAGTCATTAAACTGTTAGGTCAGCTTCCAATCATTTGATATCATTGGTGATAACTGTTCACTGCTGACATATCTGTGAGAAATACAGCCTACTACTAGTTAATATCAGTAGTAGCGTTTAAATTCATCATACTTTTCAGGACAAGATTGATATATTTATGTTTTGTTTTATTTAAAAGTTTGTAGTTTTTCGGATAAAAACGCTGAATGAATTAATTAACCTAGAAGCTATTAAATAATTTCTAAATATACAATTTTATATTGAATCGCTTATTCATAGTGGAATACTGTATACAATTCAAATATTGATTATAGAATTAGAACTCAAGAGTTATTGACATAAATAGGGTTTGTTGATTGATTCAACGAATAAACAAACATCATTTTTTAAGCAAGAGAATTAATGTTTTCTTGGTGTGGTTAAACATACCACTTTAGATCACAATATTTTAATAAAGTGAACATTTTGCCATCATTTTAAAGGTAATAGTAATTGTTGAACCCCACTCCTGAATAAATTTTGTATCTCATTCCTGCTCCACATATATGCCGTACAATAACAAAACACTATGATAATATATCTGTGGCAGAACAGTATTAGCTTTATTTAATATAACTTTGTCAGTTTTTGTGAAATTTTTGCTGCATATATGTTACTTTGATTTTTTTCTTAAAGAATCGTTTAATCTTGTCTATTAATAGTGAAATGGTGACTTAACGTATGACTTTTCAGTCTCACTTTTACCAGACATCAGTGTATATACCAGAAATTAACATTGAAATTTCATATAGTTTAACTAATATAAACCAGAGTTAGTAACAGTCTCGGCTCTGGATCTAATTACTACCAGTCATCACTGAAAATGAGGACATTGTAAGCTAACTATAAGTTATCATCCTATTTTGATTTCATAGCCCAGTGTTTCTTTGGTCACTTATATTATTGTTCCAGTTTTTGTCGTAAGCTTATCACATTTAATGGTTTAGCGTAACTTGTGAGGATTGATCACTTTGTTCATTTTTATCCATGCATACTCAATGCTTTATTCCTTCAATTTCAGTAGAATTGTTTCCTTATCCACTTAACTTACTGTTACAATAGAGTGAGACCATTCATAATTTTGTAAACATGGTGAGCGACAATATCAACAATTTTAGGAAACATTACTCCACACTCCATAAGAGTTTTGTCTAACATAAAAATAGGTCTTGAAATATTTAAGTAATTTGTCCATGGTCGTTATATTAATTCGTACCAGTAGCATGGATTGGTAGCTAATAACGCTTCGGCATTCGAACAAAATTTTCCTATAAAAGATATCTTCGCTAAAATACCTTTTATTTGGTATATCGCAGTTGGTGTTTTCCGCTTACCTATTTTATTCCCACCGACTTTGGATCGGCACTAACCTTTGAAGAGGTACAGACGAATAAATTAATATATTTGTAATATCCCAGTGAGTAGAAAAAATAAATTTTCTGACGTTTGGTGACTTGGTGTGAGCCACTTCTTCAGAGAATAAATAACCAAATCAAAATTAATCCAAGTTTAAATAGTATAAATCGAACAACAAGAATATTATGTGATCAATCAAACGACAGGGCTGAAGAAATCAATGTTATGTCGTTTCAGTCAATGTGATTCATAAGCGACATGTATGTAAATTTGTGTATGTATATGTTTGCACTGTTAAGGATGAAAAATGTGTGACCTCTATGGTGAGAAAGGATAGAGTTTAATTTGTAAGATAATAGTGTAAATTGTGAATAATATCAGACTAGGTGGCTAGAATAGGTCGTCCAAGTATGATGTATAGTAAGGCATTCTTTCTATTGAGAGCAGTAAGATTAAGCATTATATAGAAAGCTTCAGCTACTCTCCTTTCCTTGTAATTGAAAAAACCTTTTTGTGGTATTTTGATATTTTTGAAATCGATTTGGTGGTCGATGAAAATTGCGTGGACTGATTTTGCCAATATAATTTGGAGTTTATCCAGTTCTATGGGATTATCAGGTTTCTTTGTGTACCTAATATGTTCTTTGGCTCGAGTCAAGATTTCACGAGATATCTTCCCAATATAGAAGGTATCACAATCGACAAATCCAAATTTATATACACAGTTCTGTATTGACATGAAGGGGAATTTTTTCTTTTAAGCGAACTAAAGTATTTTGAAGTGTCTTCGTTGTTTTGTAATATACTTTAATTCTGTGTTGTTTTAAGATTGTTTGAAGTTCTTCTGTTGTGCTATGGCAGTATAGTCAAACTGCAGTACCAATCCATGGTATTTCATTCGAATTACTATTATTACGCAATGAAACGTCTTGTTTTAATATACTTCTAATAATCTTCATAGAAAATTTATTAAACTGCAAGATGCTAATTACATTCTTTAGTTCCTTTTGTTCATCTTCTTCCGATGTGATAATCTTGTTAGCTCTTGTAAAAAGATTTAGGGCTAGCGAGATCTTTGCACTGAATGGGTGTGCTGAATTAAAATCAATATAACGATTAGAGTGTGTAGGTTTTCGGTAGATGGATAGATTTAAAATTCCATTTAGATTTCTTTTCACTAAGCAATCTAAAATGGTAGCTCACCATGTTCACTTTTATTCTCGTTGGTAAATTTGATGTGCGATTAAAGTGTATTGATCTGTTTTGAAAAGGATCTTAGATGCTCAATTTATTCGAAATTATCAAGTCAAACCTTGGTAATGATACCTAAATACAGATGAAGCTACACGCATACTTACATTTATAAAAATGTTTTCATTTCTTTAAAACATTTAAATATTTATTGAATTTGATAAATGGCATTTATGTCAATATGTTTCTTCTCCGCCTTCAATGCATAAGATGATTATGCGAATATTTTGGAATCTGAAACTTTTTTTTCCCTGGTGACAGTGTAACAATAACCGTATGGAATATTTCTGTGATTTCTGTTTATCATAAAAGTTCAGTATTTTATTCGATCAATAAAAATAGAATTGATTAGTTAGTTTTATCACGCTCTCAACTAATTAGATATTTATTTAGTATAGGGATGGTTTTTCACATATTATGATTACTTTTACAATCGATTGATCTGAATTAATAGTTTTATTTATTTGATTATGGTACGTGTATCCACCATCTTGTAAACCGACTTCTCAGTGCATTGATGTTATGTATGTATATTTTCATTTTAATTTAATTATTACAATAGTTTACCATTTTGTCGTTGACAGCGATCATCTTATTGAACAAAGAAGAAACAGCAGTTCATCTGTTTATCATTTTCTATTATTACCAATGGTCAATATTGATAATTTATGGTTAGAGGGGATGAATTTTAACAAATCTACTACATCAATGAAACCATTTTCAATTATTAGAAATTTATTACATTTGAATTTAATCTACATTTTTATTCCACCGACAATTATGTCAAGTGAAAATAGTCAACTTCCAGAGGTATTAGCATTACATATAAAATATTTATTAGATAATGTTTTGATACAAACCAATCATCTTATGGTAAGTGAAATTACTCTCTCATACATTTGCAATAGTAATTTTAGACTTAAATAATGTAAAAATTATGAAAATTTTTGAATTTTATGGTTTAAATTACAGACTGACCCCAGTACTAAATAATAATCGTATGTTCACTAGTGACCAGTTTTGTGCGATAATCCCCTGTAGTTCTGTTGTGGTTGATTTCAACTATGTTGTGTATGCGGCAATTACCTACAAATGACATTGGAAGATAGTTGGGAAATACTACGAATTGATGAAATTTACACATATAAGTCGTTGGATGCTGGTTCGGTGGTTCAAAGGTTAAACAGTGGTCGCATTATTTATTTATTTATTTATTTATTTGAACACATAAATATTGGTACAAGAGGGCACCAAATATATATGCACCACAAAAAACAATGAAAATGGTAAGAGAAAAAAGACGGTAAGGAGCGTAAAAAAAAGAACAATAACGACCAGATTGGTGTAAGGAAGTGTAATAATAGTAATGAGGGGAACGGAAAGGTACAATCAGGAGAAATCTTTCAGTTAAGGAAGATACAACCACTTTTTATAAAGAAAGTAAAAGAAGTTCACAGCAGGATCGCCACTGGCTTCTATTCTGATAACTTCTCTAGCCACTGTGTTGCACCATCTCTAGGACCCCAACCAGGGATTCGTGAGGGACCAACACAAGCCAGCCCTTTGCAGCTTTCTTTCATACCACGACACCATGTCATACACTGACCACCTCTCCGCTTTTTCCAACCAGTCCCAGAGTCGGCAAATAATGTACGACGTGGAATTCTCTGGGACGACATTCGTAGAACATGTCCAAGCCACCGAAGTCGATGTTTCAAGATGGTGACACCAATTGAATTATCGTCTCTGTGCCCGAACACACGATGCCGAACCTCTGCATTACTGACATGGTGTTGCCACTGAATGTCAGCAATCCTTCGGAGACAGCGATGATCGAACACAGAGAGTCGTCTAACGTCCTCAACTCGGAGAGGCCAGGTTTCACAAGCATAGAGCAAAACTGCTCTCACCGACGCGTTGTAGATCCGACCTTTTACAGCCAGACTAACATCACGAAGGCGCCAAAGATGGCCCAGATTGGCATAAGCCGCTCTGGCTTTCACTATACGTGCATTGATCTCATCACTCACACCCCCACCAGCACTTATGCAGCTACCCAGATACACGAACTTCTCGACTACGTCTATCTGCTCACCATCCAGGGTGAGTACAGGATTGGAATCCTGCCAGTCTTGTAGAAGTACTTTGCACTTCGAAGGTGCAAAGCACATACCATACCTACGGACACTGATTGCCAACTGATTAAGTGCGGATTGCATGCCTTGGGCATTATCGCACAGTAAGACAATATCGTCCGCATACTCAAGGTCGAGAAGTCTTTCTCCAGGCAACAGATCCACACCACCATTACTTACATTCATCAGAGCTGTTTCCAGAATGTCATCGATGGCAAAGTTGAAGAGGAATGGTGAGATTGGGCAACCCTGCCTAACCCCACTGCTCGAATGGAACAATGGAGAAAGGTGGTTGTATGCCCTCACTCTGCCTGAGGTGTTTGTATATAGGGCCTTTAGGATGTTAATAAACTTCTCAGGCACACCCTTCTTCAATAGACAATCCCAGAGAACAGTTCTGTCCAACGAATCGAAGGCAGCCCTGATGTCAAGAAACACTACGATTGTTGGCCTTTGATGAGTATGGCGGTGTTCTAACATTTGGCGGAGGGTGAAGATATGATCAATACATCCTCGACCAGAACGAAACCCAGCCTGCTCCTCGCGAGTCAATCTTTCTCGGGTTTTGAACAACCTACGAAGTATGACGGAAGCCAATAGCTTGGACGCAATCGGAAGTAGACTTATCCCCCGATAGTTGTTACAGGAACGACGTGAACCCTTTTTAAAGATAGGGACAACTATCGACTCATTCCATGACGTTGGTACACTCTCTAGTTCCCAAACCTTTGTAAACAACGTCGTCAATTCCTTAGTCAAAAAGTCACCACCATCTTTAAAAAGAGCCGGAGGTAAGTCATCTGGGCCAGGTGATTTGTAACGCTTCAAGAGTTGGAGTTCCTTGCGGACTTCCTCCTCGTTTGGTGGATCAGTCGTCACCGGCCATGGAGGGCAGGACAGTCTGACCGATGTTGCCGGAGCAGCAGGCCAGTTGAACTGCCCTTCGAAAAATTCTGCACATCGTCCAAGATAGTTTGTCATGTTTTTGTGTGTGGGCTGAAATACTACATGAGTGCCCAAACCGAAGCGGGTGGTTTCCTTAGGGGGCCACACCCCGAGCCTTTGACCTAAAGGTCTAACCCACAAGGCAGTGGAGCATCGTAAGGAGATGCAATCCCATGGTAGCCGGTGACCAACGATTGGTTCATACGCCATTTGTTCCCGCAGGATACTGGAGCCCATGTGCACCATTGATTTGGTTTGGGATCAGGTTAAAGCGCTGGACATTCGCTTTTCTCCTCTCGTTTTCGTAAACAACTCCCCCGCCACGAGAAGGCAGTAAGTAGGACTTCCCTGGCAGAGGCTATATACGCGTGGCCGTGTGAGAGCATTTCTAGGGGGAGGGCGGGCTCACCCCACTCTGGGCCATACCAAGGTATTTGGGGGCGTGGCCACAAGACCTAAGAATCGTAGGTTCGATTCCCGATGAGGTTGTGATTATGCATTGCTTAGGAATTTGATACTAGGGTAAATCGATTATACAGTGCTTCCTGATCTGGAATGGTTGCCTATTTATGGTCAGTTTATGATGGAAACTGCACAATGTAAGATGGTGGAGAAGATTTGTAGCTCAGGTGGATGATTTTGGTGGAGTTTTGTTCTCTGAGCTGGATGGTTTGGTCGTGGAGCTTTCATCTTTCTTCTGAACGAAATCATCAGCACAAAATTCAGATGTAATTTTGTTTCATAAGACTTAATAGTGGCTTATGAAATTATCTCTTGTGCTCGTGGTAGTTGTTACCACAGCTGAAAAATTTAATCTCCCACCCGTTCATTTCCGTGTTTCCTATTGATATCGTCAATAAGAAATCGCGATTGAATACGTAACTCGGTCAGGTTATTTTTGTAGAATGTTTCGTATAAATTACAGATTTAGTTTTGTATTATTATATTCATTCACATACATAGAAGCTAAGTCTCTTACATGAATTTGAAATTCTAATGAGTTTTCTTATGGTTTACTTATTTGTAAATATCATTTAAGAGATTGTTAGGTTTAATTAAATAGCCTATATATTTATGTGACAATCACCACTACTACTCAAATTTTCGTATCAAATTATATTATAATTTATTTCTAGCTTTTGGTCTTTTTAACTGAGGGGAATAAATGTTTCAGTATATATACTAATGTTATATCTGATTTTACTCACAAGTAGTTTGCATGATATACCTAGTTACTTTCAACCATATATAAGCTCATCTAACTTCCAGCCATGTATGACTATAAAAATTTGTTGACTGTTTGAAACATTTTTGGTTAAATGTATTCATCATTTTCACCTCTTATCATATTATACAAGCCAATATATAAACATATTTACCTGTACTTAAATGCTATATATACTGTTATGGTGAGTTTTATTCACTTGTATGATTTACTCCTATAAATCCCAAAAGATTCGTATTTTCTTTATATCATAAGATTTTATTACAGTTATTTTAATTCTCCAGTTCGAAATTTATGTAAAAGGGAAACTGTAAATTTTAACGATTATTTACATCTTTCTTATGAATGTTTAAAGCAATAAGTGTTCGCTTTGACGCAGTTTTAATGTGTTTGACTTGGGATTATATCTGTTTAACTTTTTATAAGATATAGTATATTTTAAGCCTAATTCTTTTGTTTTGAGTATGGGGGTTGTGGAGATTGTTAAGTTTTTGGTTGAGATCATGAATTAATTGATGTTAGACCACCGTTGGAAACCTGGAAGCACTGGACGGCCGTTTCGTCCTAGTATGGGACTCCTCAGCAGTGCGCACCCACGATCCCGCACCCCGCAGGATTCGAACCCAGGACCTACTGGCTTCCTGAAACAAATAGTTTATGTCATTTGCGAACGTTGTTGTGTAGTCGCGGTTATGTAAAAGTTTTATTTAGTTGTTCCTGTACATTAAATTTAATAAACTACTTTCTCGTCTGCAAGTGGGCTGTTATTGAAATATCTGCTTTCGAAATCCCATTTAGAAACTTGTACGAAAATACGATAATCCTGCAAATTTGTCTCCTGGTCAGTACAATCAAATCTCGAATATTATAGATAAACCATTGTCTGTATCTAGTATGTACGATGTAACTGTTACAGTGCTTACACTCGATGATTCTGTTTCACAATTAGTAGAAGAATCTAATGAAATATCGGTTTGGACTAATGAAATGTTGATAAATCCTATACCATGGTTAAAAGCACACGTAGGATCAGCTTTTAAAAATTGGTCGCCTTTTGTTCAAGTCGATTTCTATTCACAGAGACTTTATGGAGTTAGTGCTGAACTGTTGAAAAAAAGGTAAGTATCATTATATGTTGGACCACTTTATCAAAAATAGACTATCTACCAATGAAATCCCGTATAATAGATAATTTTTAGGTATCGTTACCAAGGTTTGACTTCAAATAAATTGAATGTTGGTTAGATTGTTGCTAATAAAAATGATGTATTTTTAACATCCCAATGACGTTTCATGAATTCATCGGAGAATAAATAAACAAATTAAACTAACCCAAGTTTAAATAGTACAAATAAATAAAACAGATATATAGTACGATCAGTCAAAAAATAGGTTTAGCCAAGTCAATATCATGTCACTTTTTTCTTCATGAAAAAGACTCTCTTACATACTTTTACTAAACTGATCAATACACTCTCATCCCATAATTATTTTACTTGCAAGAATGAAAATAAACACAGTCAGCTCTCATTTTCACACTACTTAATTAAAAGGAAGTGAATTGAAGCTCTAAATCTAACCATCTACAGAAAACTAACACTGTCAAATCGTCATATTAACTTCAATTCGGCACTTTGATTCAGTTCAAAAATCTTTCTGACTATAAATCTTAGAAAAGCAAACAACATTACATCTGAAATGGATAAACAAAAGCACATAATTAACATCTTACAATTCAATAATTTTCCTATGAAAATTATTATAAAAATACATTAAAACGAGATTATTTACTGCTAAACAATAGTTTGAAAGAAGCACCATGGATTGATACTGTATTTTACCATACCGCCACGGTACAACAGAAGAACTCCAAAGAGTCTTAAAACAATACAGAATCATAGCATACTACAAAACAACCACCATTTTTCAAACTGCTTCAGTTCATATAAAGGATAGGATTCACTTTAAGTCAACACAGAATTGCGTTTACAAATAAGATTATTTTTTGATTGAGATCTTGAACCAATAATCTCCACAACCCCTATACTAGAAATAAGATTATGTCGATAGTGGTACCTTCTGTATCGGAGAGTCATCTCGTGTAATCTTGATTCAAGCCATCTTAGGTACACAAAAAGCCACCTAATGATCCTGTAGAACCTGAAAGAATCCGAATTGAATCGGTTATAGGAGTGCATAATATCTTCAATAACCATCACGTCGATGTTAAGAATATCAAAATAATAGAAAAAAGCTTTTCCAGCTGCGAAAAATTGCCAGTGGCTGAAGCTTTCCATATATTGCTGAATCCTATAGGCCTCAATAGAATAGAAGGCCTTGGACGACCATCTATTGAGCTGCCATATCTGATTCTATTCACATCTCACACTATTACCATACATACAAATTCAATTCTATCCTTTCTTATTACATGTATCAAGTTTTTCATCCATTAACAGACACAAATATATAAGTATGTCTTACATAAATTACCTTGACCTGAGTGAAACGACATCAACTTGGTCAAACTCGTTTGTTTTGATTGACTGAGTCACGAAACATCAGGAAATTCGTGGTGTTCACTCCGGATATCTCTTTACAGTCTAACAGCTAGGTGTGCTCGGACTACCTAGATGTATTTTCCATTATGGTATCAGAATTATGTAACTGCTTGGTATGTATCTGTCATTTTGGGGAATATATATTCATAGAACTGCAAGCACCATTTTTTCGAGTTCGACAGACATATCGCTGATTTATGAATATGACTTCCGTTGAAATACCGATTATTACGTTTGAACACTTGTGGAATATTTAAGTCTTATTTACTGTGATAAGTTTTAATAAACATTGTTTCATTCTGCCAATCTCAACAGCTATATGTCATGGGCGACAATAAATTTTTCGGCTTTTGTAGTCTAATCCTCGTTATAACTTGCTGATTTATCAGGTTATGTGGAATGCTTGTAATTAAGCTTAGTTTACAATATAGTTGTCATTACTGACACATAAATGCCGCTTCGCATTGTTTCATTTCAATAATATGACATGCATTAAGTAAAGTTGGATGGGAATTCGGCAAAATATTGACCGATGCTGGATTTGAATAGTTAGTAGGCAAAGACTGAAGCTGAACACCAAGTTTTCCTGTGGACGACAACTGGTAATCCTCTGTTTTGCTTTACAACTTCTATATGTTCACACTATCTTTTTATTGAGTACCCTGGACATTTAACACGGTTTTATAAATTAACTGGAATACATCAACAACCAAAAACAGCTGAATATTGATATTCCAAACGGTGAGAAGAGCGATAATCACAATGTGGCCATACGTAGAGAAGTCCCTCTCGAATTGCTACTATGCAGTCATATTTTTATAGCCTTCTACAGGGGATCCGCACCCCCTGTCTTGGTGTGGTGTGGTTTTCCTACAAAATGAAAGGTTGGAAATAGAAATCAGACGCTAAAATTCGGTTGGTAGATACAGATGTCTAGACTATGGAGGTTAAAATTTGTGACTCCAAAGCAGTGGTACATAATGGCTTCTAGATCCGAAGCGAACGAATAGTGTGCAAACCTACTGTGGAATTCCTTGTTCTGATGATATCTCAATGCATTATGGATTATGTACTTAAGTAAAAGACTTGGTGTATATTTCTCTAAGTAAACCGCTTGTTTCTCTTTAAGAGCTCAGGTAATAACTCCTCATGTATCGCACAGTTTTGGTGCTCATTTCTACACAAAACTGATGTTTTACGGCAAAGCGATCTGTAATTAGGTTTCTGAGCGAAGCAGATAAGTATCTAGCATTAAGACTGTTATGATACGTAAAAGACTAAATTCACTGTAATGTGCTCTAGATTTCACACTTAACAGATGGTTACCTTGGCTCAGGTAATTTGGTCTTCAATTGTTGGTCAGAATTCTGTATCATATGATCTAGTCTGTGAGAATCATTTTCTGAATGACTTAAACTTGAATCATATTTTTGGTATCATTTCAGATATTGGGCATTTTCACAGTTCACATATGAGAGATAGAAATCCTAATCAATGATATGATGAATCAAACAGTTCCGAAGTCATTAGAGAACTTCAGTGTGATGTCACTTTCACAGTCAGAAAATTCACATCCTATCCAAAGTTATCTTGATAACTATAAAGCGTGTATACAAGCATTCTGTCAAAATGGTTTGCAGGAGAATTAAGCCGTGATAAATCACATTTTGTTATTTATACATCAAAATGCACATTCATTTCGAAAATGGTAGAATGGGTCTCATTTATTTCAATATAGCAGTTAGTAAATTCTCATTTGTAATCAGTACGTACTCTAGTCACAACTACCGAATCAGAACTAGATAAAGAGAGCACAGTGCATGCACACTCCAATGTATTGTATTGGACTAGTGAGATTAAGGCTTTGGAAGTAATGGGAAGTAGAACAGCTTAATGATACAAATAAGATTTCTAGAGGATTATGTACTCGAATAATCCTCGCCAACTTTAGCGGAAACAATTCAAAACTAGGAGATTGTTATTTTTTCAACTGAAAATTATATTTTAACTTAGTAGCTTATATCTTTATGAGATATCTGCCATAAATATGATTTGTTTCGAACTGATTTCTTTGTTTTGTAAGGCTTACTTAATCTCATCAAAAAAAGCAATTTGAATTATAACGATAACTTTTACTCTGTCTGTTTAAATTATATTTTACTTAATTCTCTTTCTAGTCAATTGTCAAAACCGGAAACTATACATTTTATTCTCAAGGTGATATATCCAATCTGATTAATTATTTAGAATCATTTTTGGGACCTCCTCAAACAGCGTATGCAGATAATCTCGATGTGGCTCGTTCTAATCCAGGTCTACATCTTTTTTTGTTATTAAATACTTTTAAAAGAAATAATTCACACGGAGTTGACTGTCCCTTACCTTTAAGATTTCATATATCATCATATTCATCTGTAGTAATAACCGACTATGCACTTGTACCTCAATGGGGTGGTCTACTTTCTATTGATGCTTCTGATTGTATGACAAGGACTGGATCAACCAAGATGATTGCACAAAAAATTATTTATGTGATACGTTCAATATTAGGTTTTCCACAAATCAAAGAAATGTATTTTGATCGGGATGAGGATAATAGTCACACCTATCATATTCAGTCTAACATGGACTTAAATGGTCAAACAACGAATTGGGAGGTTTGTATTTTCTTATAAATTTATATCTTTTAAACACTATGTTGACAAAGTTTTATTTAGCTTAGATGTGGAGTGGCTGAAAATTATTGCTTTAGCATGGTTTTTACTAATTTCTGCATTATTTGGCTTATGAAGCATTTCTTTTAATTTACATTGGTTGATTTGGCTATTTTGCTTGTAATCAGGTTGACTATGAAGTGTACTCAACATGCACTACCTATCAGACATAACTTACATTTTCTGTCGGTATAATTGGTATTTATGAATTACTTTAACTCATCAGTTGCCTAGACAGAAAGCCAATCACCTTCCTCACAAAAAACGACAGATTGAATTTCGCTTCGGAATCTTGAAGCAACTCAAAAATTTTTGGGTTCATAGATAATCTGTTGAATATACCTTGTAAGTTCAATCCTTACAGAAGAATATTCTTCAATACAGAAATAGATGAGCAGTCATCCGACTACTTATTTCCATGAGTCTATGCAGACTGCAGGAACTTGTGTGATTTCTTGGGAGGAAAGTCATGATCCCTACATGAATCTTATAGGTATGTTCAGTGAATTTGTTTTTATACTGGCCTTCATGTAGAGTCTCAGTTCAAAAGCTCGTTTTTATCATGTTTCGTTATTATACCTTTTAGTAACTTCTATCTGTTACCGTCTTCACTTATTATGTTCTATCGAGTACTGTGCACATGTTCACTTCATAACATGCCTTAAAAACTTGTAAGTTTCTTAGGGCTTCATAGCGAGTTCAAATCTTAGTGAATCACATGACTAGGACATGTCTTTTAATTTTGTTTGTTTACAGCTTAACTTGTGGTTTCTTCGACGAACTATTGAATGTCTTACTGAGACTAAACGAACTATTGAATCATTAATAAACATACTACAACGCCTTCCAAACATGATTATACGAGATGATGTTGCTCATGAAGTATATCATTCATGTTCGAATTGGTCATTAGCTCTTGATAATCTCAAAAAACCAGATGAAATAAACAATTCAGCGTCGTCACACAACGAGATTATGTGCTCCTTTGGTGTTACATTCCAATATGCACATAATGCTTTAATTTCTTCAAATGGCGCGTTTTTCGACCACAGCCTGCTTGGTCTTTTATATTTCGAGGTGAGTAAGCTTTTTATTATTATCGCCGTCTAGGACGGTTGGTGAGAGCATGTCAAATTATTATGGAATGCTCACCTTACCAAGTACCTGGGAACCACTTATTAGATTCAATGTAACCCAATGCTTTACTATATTAAATCTAGTGAATAATACGGAGTCACTATCCCCCTTAAACCTTAGGAATGCAAAACCACCTTTTACGGAGGGAAGACGTGATTTTTGGGGAATTAGCCTTTAAAATTAAATTGTACGTCTTTTTGACAGGTGTGCAAACGCATAGTTATTATTTACCTTTTGTTGTGTAGGTATTCTTGTGTAACTGGAACTCCGTATTGTAGTGAGATCTTTGCTAATCTTAAGACTGTCTAAATTATTTGTGGTTAATGAATTTAACCATAGTGCCCAAGCTTCTTTCTGTCCCACTAGCACACACCATTGTAAGTGGTATTTATTGAAACACATTGATACAAAGGGATAACAAGATGTATATGCGCCACACAAAGTAGTTATCAATAAATTTTTTCCTCCAAGGATTTTGTCGGAGTGCCCAAACCATAGAATGCGGTCTTGGGGGCCACTCCCCAAACTTTTGACCAAGAGGTTTAATCCACGATGTAATGGAGCAACGCTGGGAGTTGCGGTCTCATGGCGGCCGGTGATCAAGAATAGGTTTGGACGCTATTTGTCCTCTCAGGATCCTGGAGTCTATGAGAATCGTTAGTTTGGAATCAGGGTTCTCCAACTCTGCTAAGTTGGCTTCATAAATAATGTGCTTGATATACCTTCCAAGTTCAATCCTTACAGAAGAATATTCTTAAATACAGAAAAAGATGAGTAGTCATCCGACTACCTACTTCCGTGAGTTTATGCAGACTGCAGAAGCTTGTATGATTTCTTGGGAGGAAAGTCATGATCCGTGCATGAACCTGGCTTAAGTGCTGGACATTTGCTCTCGTCTTCTCAATTTCGTAAACAACGACCACGCAACGAAATGGTGGTGAGTAGAACTTACACAGTAGTGACTAAATACACATGGTCATATGATGGCATTTCAAGAGGAAGAGCAGACTCTCCCCACTCTCGACCGTACCAGGGGGAACAATACAATTAGGGTTTGTAGCCATTCCTTACGATTCAACATTTGATTGAGAATCTTGGTCGTCGACCTTACGGCAGAACAAAAATCACATTCAAATCTACTGAGCGTTGCGAAAACGTCAAAGTAGGTTTCTTTGAGTGCTTTCATTCTGATTATCACATAAATAACTAGTTTCTGAAGATTTACCTACTCGCTTAATAATTACACAATTTATTTTTTGTAGGATGACCAAAAATATGGTATTTATACGCCGCTTTTCGTACCAATTGGTTTCGCCTTATTCCTGTCAACGTATCGAACATTTAAACTAGTATTCCGTCACAAAAACTAGTAGGAAACATTTTTTATTTTATAATATTTGTTCGTACCGGTAAAAATAAAGTATCTATACAACTACGTCCCACCAGTTTTCTAGCTGTTAGTTATCCATCTGTACATTTGAAAAAATGGGTATTGAAGAAACCAGTTAACTAATTACGGAAAATCATGATTATATAATGGAAATTATGAGCATATAAGAGTCTTCAAATCATCCTTAAAATGATCATAATCTTGGTTGAAGAGAACACTTTCTGTCTTCTTGCTTATCGTCCTGTTGGATGTTGCTTCGAAAACCTCGCGCCTACTTTGATTTATTTGTTTTGCAAGTTTTATTAGTTCAGGATTGACTTTGCTGATATTTTTAGGTTTGACAGAACCGCACTTGTCAGGTTTGGACTGAGAGTCTGTAAAATAATTCAGGAAAAAAAGTTTACTTTGGATACGTCCACATAAACAAATTTATTGCACTGCTAAGTTAAAGGTGTTTACTTTCAATTCTCTCTCTCTCTCTCTCTCTCTCTCATATATATATATATATATATATATATATATATATATATATATATATAGACAATGTTTGGATCACCATTGCATTCAAGACTGGTAAATTCTTGATGATACACCATGAACATCTGTCAATTGTAGAGAAGGTACATGATTACTATGATGAATCCGAATAAATAATGTTCAACTAAGCAGGAGCTACTTCTGTGTTTGTAATGGTTGTTTGGATGCACACACATGCAGCTAAAGTCTTGGATTTCACTGCTAGCCACAATGGACTTAATTCTGAAGTCTTCAACGGTGAACGACTAGGTGATTATCAGCTGTTTTTAGTTATGAAAACCACTGTGAAGGACAGCTTTCGGATCTTCTTAGCGTTTACATCATTTTTAGTTGTTTCACGTCGTCTTAGTTACCAATGACACTCGTTTTGAATTATACACTACTTGAATGGGACAGTGGTGTTCCTTCTTCAAAGATTCCGGTTTTACTTGTGGTTACTCACCAAAGCTTCACGAACATCAATCTCACGTGTCAAGGAATGCTCATAAATGATGTTTTGCAAGAGGTAATTGTCAAAGCCGACTTACCAGAAGATAATGGTGGGTAGCGCGGTAAGTACTGGTGCCACGGCGTATGTATGTCCTGCGATAAACGACACATATAGCTGTCTATAGTGTCGCTTCTTAACATGACAGGCGTTCATTCCCGGAAGCATTCCAGTGGAAACAGACAAATAACCTTATAATAAAACATAATCTTAGCGTTATCTGAGAAAGCAATGTTTGACCACTGAAAAGTTGGTCATTTACTAGAGTTGAGGAAACTGGATAATTTGCTTTGAGGACAATGTAGGAGGTGGGAGTAAGTAAACTGGTGTTTTGGCATTCAAGACATTTGGCCAACTACTCGTACTCTAGATCGGGCCTTGTAAGCTAAGGAACAGCATATTATAGTACAACTAAATAGCTTGAAACCTTTGAATGAACAAATGTATAGCTATTAATGTGGTTGCCGTCACGTTTGACGCACCTGCTCGTTCAGAAGTTAAATACAGTTACAACGGAGAAGCAGGCTATGATATGCATGTAGTAGTGGGTTATTTCATTGAAGGAAGGATGATATTTTTAAACGATGAATATCGCGAACTGATGACAGTTTTCATTAACAAAGTCAACCAACTCACACCATGGACGTTCTAATTTTGAGACACTTCCAATCAATATGGTTTCAAGATTCCCTTTAGATCCAGTGCACTTGGGATATTTATGTGTAATGAAGAAAAAAAATCTATTTATGGGTAGATTCCTCATAAAGAACTTGGAGTGTGAATAAAACTATTATCACGGGCATATGTTATTCTTGAGTTGTGTTGAAAGTACTTCAGACTTTCAGCATAAATGTCGTACATTAGACTTTGTATCTGTATGGGTAGCGACAGTGTTTATTGTCCTCTTTATAGTCCTTAAAAATACATCACTACCACCTCCGTACTTAAATTCTAGACATCTAGCATTAGCGCAAACGCGTCTTAAGTTTTGCAGTAGTGTGACAGGTTCAGTTAGAAATGATTTGTGTGATTTTCTTAGAGAATGTGAATAGTTCTACGGACTTGAACACTTAGTTTATAGTGTACATTCGTTAACGTTATTTTGCAAGATCCGCTATCAGCTTTTCCATTCGAGTCTTATATGAGATACTAAAAAACAGTACATAGCTTTCAGCCTATGGCTAAGTAAGCAAATCACAGTTATGCAGAAGAGATAATTTCCTGTAGTAGGCTTTAAGTTATCATTTCGGCAACTACAGCAGACACGTACGACGGTAAGAAACAAAAAAATACTTCTAAGTATACTACTACAACTATAACTATACTACTATAACTTCATTTAAGCCGGATAATGTAGTAATGATACATGAAAACCTGGGGTAATCACTGATATCAAGGAAAAAGGAATTAATTAGATCTAGAGCTTTCACTGACCTGCTAGATCATTTCACGGGACTCACTGAACTCATCAAAGCACTGAGTGACATGAGATCAGCTGCAAGTCACAAAAGAGATATGATAAATACGTTGAAGTGGCAACTTTTTATCGCTGTTCAATAGCTGTAGTGTTCAGTCTTGACGAGCTGCCGTAATTCTCGTTTTACGTTGCCAGTTGTAGATAAAAAAATTCCGCAGTTTAGTTGTGTTGTGAATGTTAGTTTTAATATTTCAGAATTCACAGGACGGTTATTTCAATTCTGAATAGTAACACTGAGACTTCAATTTTCTAAAACTCTCTACATTTTATTCATAATTTTCTAAGAAATCATTATCTTCGCATTTACTTTCTCACTTACATCTGCTACATTGAAACAAATTAGACGTATGTAGTGGGGACGTGATTGATATATGAAGCTGAAAATTCAAAATGATTAGCGCGTAACCTGTTAACTGTAACTTTTTTTGCGGATTTTCGTCAGTGACAGTGGAGTTTGTATGTACAACGAGGTGCGATGTCATTTCTTGTAAATAAGTGTTACTAACCATGTATAATTTTCTAAATCGAGTCCACTGTATCTAAACGTTCGTCTTGTGGTGTAAATAACGGCGAACATAGAAGACATTTAGGATAAGAGCATATAAGTGTGCGTTAATGGAAACGAAAATTAGACTAATAACCAGCTCAAAGTATACAAAATCTAGTTGGAGAATTTCGACCTAACACCTAAAGCATTTAAAATTCCTATTCTTTGTTCGATTCGCTTCCATATATTGGCTTTTCTGTCTTATGTTGACCTATCGGTTTAAAGATGACATGTTAATCTGTAGAGATTAACCTGTCGTGCTACGTAGCACCTAATTAGGTAACAACATGCTACTATACCAGACACAGTAGGCTACAACCTTTGAGTCTGGAAAAAAATAACTTACCATTTTTACTTGAAAATATTTTCCAAGTAACTTTTTTGGAATGACGTTTTCGGTATAATTCATTGCGAAGACGTTTCAGTTGGCCTCTACTTTGGTTCTTCCTACTGGACTTACATCGTACCTGAGAACTGTGCAAAACGTCATGAAAGATTACCTCAGGTCTCCGAAACTCAGGCAGAGCTGGAACAATAGCGATTTGACTTAATGCTTTTTTCAGTAATGACTTCATGAAAACCAAACGCCCGCCTTCCCAGTTTGCGTTTCGAGAATGGCCTAGGAAATATTCTTCGTGTAAGATCCAATACACCATTTTATTATTCGCAATCTTAAATAGAGCGAATGATTTCATTGATCCTGGTTCTTAATAATTCAGTACGGTTTCACGTCTTTATTATTATCCAATGAAAGGTAGTCCAGTTAATGGATTACACAAACCCTTATCAGTTTCGTAGCTGTGTGGATTTTTACATGTTTTAATTTGAGATAGTTCGGTCATCTCAGGGCAGAAACCTTTTCGGATATCAGCAGCTATCATGTCATCAAGAAAGAGGTTGACTGGTTGATCCCAATGTGAAGAAAAAGCGAAAATTCAAGCATTAGGAAATGATCGTTTCTTTTTCAGATCATCTAGCCTGAGTGCAGTTTCTTTGATCTGATTCGAAATATATTTTTCTCCATGAAGTTTGAGATCCAAGATAAACATGGGTAAGTGAAACCTATCTTCGCAGCTGTATCCTTGATTACATGAAGTTTTGAGTCGAATGCTCCTAGTCAAAAGATAATACACGAACCGTTATCGTTTGGTCCGAATAGGTCGTCCAACTGTCCCGTGATATGGAAAGATTTGACGAGAAACATGCGATATTTGGAAAAACCCCAGGTGTGGTTGCTGTAATCTGGTCTGTCTTTATCGGAGCAATAGTAGCATGATTCTGTCAGCTAACTAAAGCTTTGTGTTTCGGCTTTGAAGCGATTGTTAATTTGTGTCGTCACTTCATCTCGCTTTTTACCTACCCTATCGAATAGGAAATGTTCCATCCCTTGCATACTCACTTTTTCGCCCGTGATATTGGAGGAAGGACACGCCTAATTTGGTACTATAATCTCTACTAAATCCTCTCGGTTTCTGAAGTTCACAGTCACCAGACAGAGACTTAATTGTCGTGGGGTTTAACGGAAGGGTTGGCGCGAACACACTAATTACCGTGGTGATGTTAAGGGCCACGCTTTATGATAAATGACCCTAATGTTACACATCATGTCCGAAAGCTTTGTCCTGACAATCATCAACTGGCTAGAGTACTTCGTGGACTTCAATGATGGCTGATTCTCGAGTTTTTGCTGATCATGTAGCGGATTCTCTAATGGCCCACTGATTTTTGTGCTCGACTCTTATTCGAAAATACCGTTTAACTGATAGTCTCTTATTCGTCAGTAAGGTTCCTTCTGTAACGTGTGCGTGATTTCAATCGACCCTTAAAAGAGGTATATATTTGGCTACACTTTGTCTATAAACATGCGGCACAGTCATTATTTTTTACTGATGCGCTAAACGATAGCAATCTTGCGTCATATGTGTGCTCAGATTGATGAAGAATTTCGTAGACCAATATCTCTACTACACCTCTTTGTAACTAATAGTTTTGCACATGAATACCGTGAAGACTACAATGCTTGTTTGTGAGAAGTTTGAGAACTTATAACAGTCCCAAAAAATAAATATTTTGCTCTAATGTTTGCAAGCTTGGGACCATTGCCTGGATATTTCGAAACTAAGTAACTAAGTTCCATTTTCCAGAGAAATCAGAGCAATTTTAGAGATCGAAAAGTTTATTAGCCCCTATCAAGTGCTCGTTTGATAAAGTGTATTTTAATCTGCGTCCGGACAGCGGAGAAAGTCTTATTCACAAATGTACACAACTGACTTCGATTCCTTGGAAGTGGATTTTTGGTTTAGGAGATAATTTCTTATGAATAGCATTTGCAACACACTGGTGTATGTATTTTTTATCATTAAAACCTTATCTATCCGTTTTGTCTAATCAAATGAAGCTAGTGGTTAGTATTTCCGAAAAAGTAATATGAGTGGTGTTAATTTTCTCGATAATACCCGATATTTGTTAAAAACTCAGCCTTTATTAATTGATAGTTATAAGTTAGTCAGATTAATACTATCATTTTAAAGAGGCTTTATTGACACGAGTGAATCCACAGGGTGCCTTCAATATGTGACATAATGTGTTACAACAGACCAACAACAAACGTTTACTTCATTTTCGAATTATGACCTTGGATATGAATCGACTGAGCATACCAACATCCATCCTCTTCACCCGCCGAGCGTTTTCAGTAGTACCCTTTCAATTTCCACAATTTTCTAGGTGTCAATCAATAATCTAAATTTTCTTGGAATCGTCAGGGACGATTGATTGAAGATAGTCGCTGCAGTCTCGGAAACACATCCGGACTAGTATCAAATATTACGATTTGTTTAATTTGAAGTGTCATGTAAAGTGTGTGGCACTTTTCGTTTACTCGTCAACTATCAGTAGGATTGAGCAAACCACAATCGGAAAAAATATATAGATGTTCCACTGTCGACGTCGGAAAATCCTGGATAGGTTCATTTCGTTTTTGATAAATTTGCCTTCTAGTTTACAAAATTATCTCTCAATGACAGAAGCGTCAGATCCCATATTTCACCAGTATATAATAGATTAGTTATTACTGAAGAAGTAAAAGATGTTAAAAGTGGTCCAACCAAATGTTCAGTTCCATGAAGACGATACACGTGATTTTGAGGAGAAAAACTAATTACTCAGACAAGTTACGAAAGATGACTCGTCACATGGCATGTTGTCATCGCAAAAGGTAATAAGTTAGGCAAGGGAATGAAAACTAAGAGACGGCTGAAGGTCCTTTTTAGAGCCATTCACAAATACACTTGGATGTATTCCCATTATTGTATTCAGTACTGTTATATGTATGTATTATTAAGTGCAGAGAGTAGTAGCACTGGCCTTAACGTGCCGGGAAGTGCTGAGCCACGAGAACCATCATCAAAAGGAATGGATCGCTATCGAAACACTGGACAAGGTTCAAGAAACTAAGGACAAGAAGACATCAATCGACAACAGACGAATAAAAGCAGAGAAAGTCAAGGCACAAGCTGAATACACAGAAGCAAACAAGCAAGTGAAGAGGAGCATTGTAGCTGACAAGCAGAAACACGTGCAAGACAGAGTAAAAAGCTGCAAGATAAGAAAGTATGAAACAATTACATGATGCGACGAAGAAACTGACAGGGAAAAATAGTAGATACTTGTCAGGAACAAGGAAGGAAAGCCAGTCACTGAAACTCAAGAGCGAAGGAACAGATGAGTAGAACACTTTGAGAAACTCTTAAATAGACCAGCCCCATTGAGCCCACTGGATATCGAAGCAGCACCTACAGACCTTCTTATAGATATCACTTCACCAACGATCGAAGAAATGAGGATGGTCATCAAAAAAACAAAGTGTGGAAAAGAAGCACGACCTGGCAATATACCAACTGAAGTACTGAAGTAACTGCAATCATGCTTTGCACTGGGAGAAACATTTCTATTCAACATAAATGTTTGCAAAAATAACCTTTTGATAAATATTTTTGCCAATATTTTAAAGCCATTATCCATTTATGAAAGTGTGAAGTGTTCTTCATTTAGAGATATCAAACTCATAATTCGTTCAGGCTTTATTTAGTATATCTTCTATGTTGTCTTATGATCCTGATTTATTGATTGGTTTAAACAAATATGGATGTGGTGTTTGAATGAACCAATGATACCTTTGTACTTGTTGAATGCTCGATTTCGAATTCCAAATACAATACATTCGCTTGTGCTTGTGTCTTACTTCTTAATTCAATTGCGTTATTTCTGGGACTCTTAATTCGTGCTATAATTCAAATAATTCAAAACATTATAATGAAACCTTTTGTAAACATATGACACGTTAAAGTAATTCTTCAGAATTGTTGAGAGGAAAACCACTTTTCCTTTGTCGTTTAGTAATTTCACTAGCTTTTAGGTACAATAATCACTATAATAATTAGCAATCTGTGTCTATCGACACGTAACTTACCATCCTACCGAGGAGTGAATATTAATTTATTCTAGTTAACGTTAGTCAACGTTCATAGCGTTTTAACTTACATAAAACTTGCATGTCCTTAGTTTTTAGCTATTTTCTTTTGTCACGATCATTAACGGCTTGAAATGACAAAATAGTATAAATTTAATTACATTTCTATGTGATCTGTAAGGAAACCGATTCCATTTTACATATCACTATCTATTGACAACCCCTTTAATCAAATGGAATAGAAATAAAGATTCAAAAATGAGACCATCCGTCAGACGTTTTTTAAATAATAAAATTCTAATGTAAAAGTGAAAATTTTAACATTTAACTAAAACATTTTATGCTCGATAGGTTTCAACTGACCAGATTACAACAATGCATTGCTGGCAGTCAACTAACGATTTTATACATGCAAGAGATATTGTATTCTGGAACTAGAAATAACGTTTTAGCAAAATTGGACAGACTATTTGAATCTGTCTGTAAATGAACTACATTACGACTTCAGTATAGCATTCCACTTGATGGTGTCCACCATACTACTGATTGAAATGGCGCGTATCAGAATCACAGATCTATTTCTTTCCCTGTCAAAGAACTATTTGTAAACTTAAGCATTTTCGATTTAATTAAAATTATGACTTTAAACCACAGAACTTTAATACCTGGGGTGTCATATGGAGCCGTATGAGAATCTTCACTACTTTCTGTGTTTGTCAGTAATCATCCAGAAAACCACAGACATTCACTTCATACACATCCCAACGATAATTGACTATGGAAAGTCAAGAGCTGAGGAAGCTATTTACTGAGGCAATAGGGCGACCTTGTGTTGCCATCGAAGTAACATTAGTTTGACGTTCACTCTCCGAAAGTCCCCGTCAGTAGTAATTTGAACTTCAGAGAAGCATCAAGCCGAGCACTTCTTGTATGGTCATCGGCCATCAGGAATTACAAATGGACGACACCTATATTTTTTGCCTACAGAAAGACTAGACATCAGCAACAGTCATCAGAAAGATGAAACAATTACCTAGGCTACACTACTCCACACCTGAACGCAACGTTGCCTGATAACTCTTGAGGTTATTGGAAGCTACTAGATACCTACACCCTCTTGCATCTTGAAACGCACAAAACTGTTGCACCCCCACGATTCAAGATGGTTATGAACCGGTCATGGTAATGTGGGTTTTAGGATGGGAGGATATAATTCATCACCCAAGCTTTTCA